ACTTCTATCTTAACAATATTCTCTTTTAAAACTATTTTAGCTATACTATAGTTTTACTTTAGTTTCAAAAGCAAAAAACGTCATAAACTTTAGCGTTTTATTATATTTGATTACTTTTACAATCTGACGTACTTCAAAGAAGTAGATGAGTTCCCATATGCTCGTTATCGGGAATATTCAGAATCAACCATAGATGAAAACAACAAATATCCTACGTTTCTTTGATCACAAAAGAGGAAGGATTTTGCATTGCCTATGACACTATCTTTATCATCAACGTCGAACATTTCATAACCGTTTGACTCGTACATCACTTGACACGAAGGTCAGAATGGATGAAGGTTCTGTATATGGATCTTCGGCGTGACAAGCGAACGCTTTAACCACTAGGCTAACTCCACCGCCCTTTGAATAACTGAAATGAGGATCATAGTTAGTTGTATGCAGATATTGAAGAACAACGATTTCAGACGTTTCATTTTATATATTAGAATAGCTTTGCTTTGTCATTTTAATTACGACTGATTGTAAATCACATTCAAAGCCTCTATACCATGTTCAAGAACATAGTTGAAAATTGTGCTGAGTTCTGACAGATTTCCTTTAATCTCAAAATTATATATACATTATCTCTTCTATACTTGCCAAACAAATTGTATGTTTGATGCTTCAGGGAAATGGTTAAATCATGTGTCATTATCGATTCACTCCATCTGCTGGATAAGTGAAAGGGAAGCTGAATACATTCTTTTGTTGGCTCCTCTCTCAGAAGTTTAGACTAGTACTCTGATATTCTATGAGGCAGTGCAGTGAAGATCTAATTGCATGTCAGTGAAGTTGTTCCACATGTTTTGGACAAAAAACAAAATTAAATACATTTCGTAAAGATGGAACTTTGAGCAAAGTCGGAAATATCATGACATTTCATCACATTATATCACACAATTGACGTAAGGTAAACCTATTTACATCGTTATTGATCAAAGTTAAGCCAACGTTCATCACCTACCCGAACATCAGCGTGGTGTTCAGGCATTTAAAATACCTGAATATGAAAGAAACTGATAGCACTCCACCAGCCAAAGACATTTGTTGGAAGTAGTTTATTCCAAAATTATTTTCATCGCGGTTACAACATAAAATGCCTTTGTAATATTTTCCAAAGGATTTGGGAGACATGTGGAGGACATTCCAATGGTCAAGGCTGACTGATTAATAAGAAGAATAACTAGATATTTCTATAGCGCTAGTATCCAGTTTAGTAACTGCTCAGACGCGCTTTTTGGAGCCTGCACAAAACTGCAAATAGCTAACAATATGTTTCAGTGAAAAAGTAGGTTTTCAACTTTGACTGAAAAGTAATGACTTATGTGATGGATCTAATCTGTGGAAGGCTGTTCCGGACAACAGGGCTGCTCTGGGGAAGCTGCGGTTGCCAAAGCGTGTTTTGCTGGATGTTTGAACACGGGTGGCGCATACTCGTTAGTGAGGTCTTGTAGACTGGGTGGTGCCAGTCCTTGCCTCGCCTTGAACACTAGTACCAGGATCTTGTACTTGATTATCTCTGCGACCTTGAGCCAATGTAAATTCTTTAAGATTAGTTCTGAGCTGCACATAAAAGGCACTAAAATATACAGCTGTCTGTTGCCTTTGGAAATCAGTCAATCTTGGGGAACGTAAAGAGATCAAGTACTTCATGAAAATAGGCTAAGTGCCAAAAAACAAAACACGAATGTCTGAGCGTCATCTTGCGAAGAGACAATGACATCGAGAGTGAATTCGAAGAAACTATCATCAAAGCCAAAGCCTCTTAAATCTGATCAAATACGCATTTCTGAACCAGAAAAACGGAAATTAAGACTAAGAAACGTGGTTAATTGAGAAAAATATTTTTTTTAAATATCTTTAATCCACGAGTGTGTCTTCCACTCACCTTATTTCCCTGATCTGGCGCTGTCACACTTCCCAAACATGAAGAAACCATTTCGACTTAAAAACAAGGACACACCATTTGGACAGCAACGAGAAATTATACGAAACTGGCAAGAAATTGTGCTAAAGCATTCTCTCGTGACGCCTAATTTTCAGGTTCGATTGGCCAAATGTATACAATATTTAAGGTCTGTTTGTAAAGTCAACAGTCGTGATTTAGATACAATATTGCTACAAGCTGTCTAAACCATACACATTTATATAAGTAGATCAAACGAACAGTTATTACAAGCGAACTGCATCGCTGAAAGTTGGGGTCTGTACACACCCAACTGTAGCTGCACAAGATAAAGTTTTACCTTAGATCCTTACAGACGACATATTGCTGTTATTATATTTCCATAACAGTATCTAGTTCTTCACATTTTCAGCTCAAAATATTGGATGTGTCCGATTGATAAGCATGAAATTTTTCGGGCGTTGGTCTTATAAGCATTTTTTAAACTGAAATGAAAATGATTGCGTCTCCTATGATCCGTCTGCGAGATGAAATCACATTGGCTCAAAGAAGATTGATACCTCAACAACACGCACTCATCCTGTCCAATTTGGAGTTTACCGTTCATCTTCCCGTGTAATCAACAATGCCATAGAAGAAGGAAGAGCGCAAATCTAGCCTCTTCAGCACTTCCTTGTTTGTTTGTTTTTGTGTCAGTGAGTGAGTTATGTTTTACGCCGGTTTAGCAATATTCCAGCAATATCACTACGGGGGACCCCAGAAACGGGCTTCACACATTGTACTCATGTGAGGAATCGAACTCGGGTCTTCGGCGTGACGAGGCTATGCTTTAGAAACAAGGCTACCTAAAACAAAAATCGTTGGTGGATCTCTCTCTAGACCCCAATACAAATTGAAACAAAGAAGGGGGCACGGTGGTCCAGGTGTATAAGATCCAGCTCAGAGACAGACGCTGAACTGCAAGGTTTGCAGGTCTTATGTTGTATGAACGATTAGTCATGTACCCAGGGAAGTCTAGGTGAAAATAGGTCAATAATGTTGATTTAGTCTTATATGAGCTAACTAATGCAAGCTAAGAATGTATGTGTGTACTCCAACAATAGGTTTACCTAAATATGAAAGGGCGAGCGACAAAAATGCAATTCCGTAGTTTGAACCTTTACCATCTGTTCTCCTTACCTTGGCGTATGTTCTTGGAGGGTGCCATCGAACTGGCAGCATACGCTTGTAACATCACTATTTGACAGTGATTCATGGGTAGTGTCTCGTGAAAAAGTCAGAATTATACTGTAATGTAAGCAGAAATGTCTTATGAATATGGAAAGGGTTTTGTCCCTATTATTTATAAAGTATTTGAGGCATTCGCGATTCAGCAGAAACTGAGAAATTTCACGAAAAATACTTAAATCCTTCGGATTGTTTTCAAATAATCATACATGGGCCTCAAATTCAACATGAAAACTACAAACTATCGATCATACACGTTAGGTTTCTTCGTAACACTCGTTAATATGCAAAGTATACAGTGAACCTTTACCTAGAAATGACAGGGCAAGGGGAAGCCATGAAATCTCCTTTAAAACAATATAGAAGTTACTGAAAATAAAAATAAAAAGTTTCAGTCTGGAGCAAACGCCAGCAATATTTCAGCCTCATTGTCAATATGATGTGTGAGAATGAATCTGACATAAAAATGATCTTGCAGGCAAATTATATTGAATCAGGTTTTGAACCTTAGCTATTTGTTGCTCATTTTTCCAGTCTCCGGTTCGCTTGGTACAAACTAAAATCAGTTCCAGCTGGCCATAATAAACCTGTAGCGAAACGACTACTGCGTTAAATGACTTAATGTATGGTTCGTAAGTAAGATCAACATTCTTCCTGAGACATTCTGATGCTGATGCTCAAACTTATGTTGCTGCAACCAATGAACTCCTCAAAAATGAAGCATACAACTTTATGGATGACAACTTCATTGGCCGGTATATTCATAAAGTTACATGCTTCATATTTGACTCACCAACATCTGGAATGCCGATCAAACAATCATGAACTTCGTTTGTGTACATATGCCAGTGTGGCTATGTGGAGCAGCGTTCTTGTGCTGGTCTTCAATGCAAAAACACAAATTACATAAAAGCCCTCGGAAAAAGAACACAAGAACAAGTGTCTTTTATGTTCATAAATGGTAATTGTCTTAAAGTTCAAAAGTGAGCGATTAGTCTCTATAATCGTCGCACTCTATTAAAAACGACATTGGAACGTAATGACTATATTGGATTTCTGGAGAAAGTGAACTCTTTTATTGACTTACAGAACCTTGATGCACATCCTTAGTTCCAGGTTCCTGATCCTTAAGACCATACATCATTGGTCGGTAATTTGGTTATTGCTTTCTTGATAAATAGAATGCCACCATTAAACAAAACATAATAGTTTTCCATGTGCCAGCGCTAATTTGTAAAACGTTGTGTTTTTAAGCTTCACCTGAACAAAGTCTTCTTCTCAAGACAAACCTAATAATACAAGTACTTTATTCTTGAACAATATGTGTGAGACAGTGTGTTGTTTTTCAAAGTCTACAGTAGAGACTGTAATATTTATGATAGCCGTAAATCAGTTTTAACCTTGTCGGAATTTTTGTTTGAAATAAATAGATCAAATCCCACCAATGGAATAATGACTGTGAAGCACACCATTTCTGTTAATGCCATTAGTTTCGGGATGAGCTCACTGATGCTAATGTGTTGTTCAGCTGTGTTTATTACAGTCTAGTGTGTTATTTGGTAACATTTGAATCAATGATGGTTCGTGTTTATACCTAAGGCAGTGGCTAGACGCATTAGGATAATAACTGTTATTGTCACGAGGAATGATGGATAGAGGAGGATAATTATCAGTCTGAGACTGAAAATAGTCCACATGCGACTTGTTCCTCAGTCGTGCCACAAACACCAAGAAATCTTTTGTAATTTTCTACTTCCTGAGATTCTTTAGGAAATAAGTCAATGAGCTCTGGTCAAAATAATAAACACATTTTTTCTCATGATTTCACATTTCATCAAGTTTATGAGCAGTTGCTCTCAAATTGAAAACAAGTTAAAAGAAGCCAGAACACGACACGGCTTGACTCGAAAACCATGAGATGCACATGACACTCGTGATGTAACTACAGCATTTAGATAATTTTCACTGACAATATCTCGAAAAGCCTTGATGAATATTTTGAAAAGTCCAATGAAGGTTAAGATGGAAGTATTTAAAATTCGCTTTGAAACAGACACTAGTGTTTCCAATGAACCGTCAAAGTGTCTACAAGGGATATATTTTTGGAGTCATACATAGATTACGTATCAAGGTATTTAGACAGTGCATCCTTCTTGTTGCGCTTATTAAAACGATCCATATCTGTAACAAAGTTTGACACCTTGGTCTGAAGATGCGTCTGATGCTTCTTTAAATCTAATAGGAACCCCTGTCTCTGATCAAATGCTGTGAAGAGCTGAGGTTCCTGCCAACTTAATTCAATTCTACTTAGCTCCTCCAGCTGCCGCCTAGACCGCGATGCACTCTGGGAACGTGTTGCCTCACTGCCGTACGATTTGCTTGAATCCATCTTGGCAGGAACGGACATTGGTCGTGCTAGTCTGTGACGAGACGATGACGTCATCTGCAAGTATCCTTTGGTTTTAGACTGCCTTCTGTTGTCATCTGTCGGTGTTGTGACCGTAACTTTTTGAATAGGTACTGAAACTGGTGCATATTGTTTCCTATCACTTATATCAGAAAAAGGGTTCCATTTGGGCAGAATAACATTAAAGTGGTTCTTTGCGCTGAACCTTTCTCTTTCTTTCTGAAGTCTTCGACTTACGCGAGACGTTTCTGATGAGGGTGTTCCATTGCCTCCCTCCTCTGGATCTTTGTTAGATTTTGAAAAAATGTTTGAAATTTCTTTGCTTGTATCTCTCTGATTAACTACTTCTCTCAGACTTTGGATATTTTCTACGTCCTTCTTTAAATTTTGAATTTCATCATCCTTGTCTTTTTTTACCCGGAAGTGAACTCTCTGCAGAGATTCGAGGTGAGAGGTCAGGTTATCTTCAAGGCTGTCGTTGTCCCGGTATGTGACACTGTAGTCGAGCTTTACAACCCGAAGCTTGCCATTACTCGGAGCACTCCGTTGACCACTGGCTGTCATTTTTATGCGTTAGGTGTTTTATGATCTCTGGATCTCTGTCACTTCACTGCATGGTCAGAATTAAAACAGGATACTGTCTGAAAAAAGGAAAGGTGTGTAATAATATGCATCACATGTAATGGATAGATTCGTGGCTAGAGCGTTTCAGTATGTGGAACTGAATGTCCGCTGCCATGATATTTCTGGGGTATGGCTATAATACATTGTCACTTACCGGTGAACCGGTCATAAAACCGGTCATAAAATCAATTTGTAACGAGCCATATCAACGAGAAGACAATAAAGACATTGCATTATGTTTTAAGAAATATAGATGAAATCCTGTTTATAGCGGGAACTTGCACTGATGTTTTATTAACGCCGCAACCAGCAATATTCCGGCAATTTGGCGGCCGTCTGTAAATATCGAATCTAGCCTAGAAAGAAAATCAACTGATCAACATCATAACATCGTTGACATATGTCAACCAAGTCAGCGAACCTGACAACCCAATCCTGTCGACTCTTACGAAAGGCATGGGTTACTGAAGGCCAATTTTCAAGATTTTAATGCAGCTTTTGTCGCTTCTAAATAATTTCTTAGATGGGTCTGTAAGAATCGCATAACTTCATAATATTTTAATCGCATAACTTCATAATATTTTAAGTAAAGGAATGACATTCAAGGAAGGCAATGACAGACCTTCAAGTTCAGTATTTCCGCTTTGGAAAGTCAAGTTGAAATGTGTGAGTATGTTTTTCAGACTCTTTTAACCCTGTTTTCTCCTCTCTGTGCAATATTCCAGCAATATCATGGCATGGGACACCGGAAACATGGTACCCGTGTTGGGAATCGAACCCAGATCTTCTTGAAGAGCAAACACGTTATCAACTACACTGCCCGACAACCCGTAATTGTTTTATCTACTGTACACTACTGTTTGTAGAATATGACACCGTTGTGTTAGAATCATACAGCTGTGAGTGCTCGACATATAGCGTTGATAAGAAATTAAAACAAATCACGAGGAAAGCATTACCCTTTTAGTCTTAGTTAAGTAAACCTTGGTTTCACTGACAAAACAACAAACGATGGCATAGGGTGTGCAAAAAAGTATGAATCTGCCGCAAATGCAGAATCCATTTTCCAATCATCAACTTTCCCCTAAATCAAGCAGTGCTAGAGATGTTCCTGTGGAATTCACAACTTTTGAGGCAGAATCGAGCATGTTAATTTTACGAAGATTTCAAACAGCGTCATTCGACTCTATCACAACAGATATTTATCAAATATATTTATGAATATTGAAAGGATTTTGTCCCCTTTATTTGTAAAGTATATAAGGTACACCCGATTTATGAGAAAGTGAACCAAACCTAAATCCTATATTGTTTCAAATGTTCATACATGGGCCTCAATTTCAACATGGAAACTACAAACTATCGATCATACACGTAAGGCCTCTGCGTAACACTCGTCAATACGGACCGCCTCCGTGGTGTAATGGTTAGAGCGTTCGCCCAAGGTCGCGGGTTCGATCCCCGACCGCGTCATACCGAAAGCCGTTAAAATATGGTACTTGTTGGTCCCTGCCTGGCGCTCGGCATTAATGGGTACAACAAGGACTGGTCGGCTCGGAGTCAGTATAATGTGTCTGAGTGGTGTATTTATGCTTCACTGCGGCATGGTATTCCAGCGTAAGTCTGGGCTAGTACAAGCAGTGCATACACATACACACGCATGCACGTCGTCAAATGAGCGGAATATTCTCAAGCACGACGTTAAACCCAATTTCACCTCACCTCACCTCACCTCACCTCACCTCACCTCCTTAATACGCAAGGTATACAGTGAACTTTTGACGTTGCGCAATCATTAAATCAATATTCCCACTTACCAGTGTGTTGTCGTAAACAAAACCCTACATGTGTCCTTGCATCGTTTTTGTTGTTCCACGAGGTAATTATTCCTTCCAAATTTAAAAAACAAAACACATCTATTTTCCCAGCACGGACTTTGGAAAATGCAGAAAGCAACCTTCTCTCAACTAAATAAGCTACCAGGTTAATTTAGGTTCCCAACTGTGTGATCAGTTATACGAAGCCAGCGTGTTATTTAGTAGGGTTCATTGTCATCTAAGACCACCTTTGCTTCGTGCAAGAAATGTAATCATCTTAACTATGGCTTCCAATCATACACGCTGACATTCAAGGGGAAATTCAATCATGCGCCAGTTTCAAACAATTGCAGATATTGCTATTTCATCCAGAGCTCAGCATTAAGCGTCGTACGCTACTCTATCAATTCGTAGACTTCGTGGAGAATATGTAAAGGAATATTGTCCTTGTTTACATTCTATGCCTCGTAGGTTATTTGGTGGCGACATTTATGAGTCAGTCATTGCTACAAAGTGTTGTGGTATTGGGATCGATCGCCAACGTAGCTCAGCTTAAGGGTATTGGAATGCACTTTTATCCACTGTTTTCGGGAGGGCTGTCAAAGTGAATTCGCCAATAACACTGGAAAATAAAAAATTTGGAATCTGGACATATTAAATCATCATCTTCGTATTTTAGTTAAATTGGATGATGCCATGAAATACATGGAATGGTAAAAATAACATGATTAACATTGTAATTAGAATACCCAGTAGCACAGTTCGAAGCAAACGGAAAGTCGACAAAATCGTCTTTAAACATTATTACGATGTTTCAAGTTAAAGGCATGGCATACACTAATGTTAAGACTTGATCATTGATATAGTAAATACCTTAAATGTAAGAAAGGTTTTTGTCACAACACATCTGAAGCAGTTGTATATATTTGTATATGTTTGTTCCGAATTTTATCGAACAGTCCGTTTTCTGAACTGTACACCGAAAAGGAGGTAAATAGTTGAGAAGTATCCATGATTATCACAAAGAATATATCTCGTGAAGATCCGAATTAGAACTGATCTTCAGCCACCCATGGGTGTCATTTGAGGCGACTATTGGGATCGGTTGATCAGGACCGCTGACTTGGTGGACACATGTCATCGTATCAGCACTGAGCAGATCTATGCTCGTGATGTCAATCACCGGACTGTCTGGTCCAGACTCGATTATTTACAGACCGCAGTCCAATAACCGGAACATTACCGAGTGCGTCATAATACAAACAGGCAAAACAAATGTTGGATACATATGATTAAAAACACTATTTTTGTTATAAGGGTCCAGAAAAACTATTATGCTTTACTATTCGTAATTCCAAATAACTTGGAACGTTCTGGAATTGGAAGAAGAAGAAGAAGAAGGTGGTAGATTCGAATAGTGTCCATGATACGCTTTGATTCATATAATGTAAGCAGTCACATAGACGTGATTCAATGTGCAAACATAACACGAATCATGGGAGATAGGTCCTTAGACGTGACGTATATCACTTGACACGCCATTCAACTATAAGCTGTACCTGGCATATCTGAAGGCGAAAGGTATAATCATTTGTCTACACAAACACTCTATGGACGCTTGGATACCATCATCCCCTTTACACGCGTGAAAGCACTTCACGTTTCATTACGTCTAACGGGTGACGGACGCCGTAACGTGTGTGGTAAAACGTCAACGAAACCCCTGACCTTCATTATGCTCTACACAAATATTGTCGTATTAGTTTATATGGGTTCAATGTCTGTTTAGCAATTACCCTGGTTTGGGCGACATTTACAGTGATGTATAACACTGAGAAGGATCGCGATGTTCTTAAAATCAGATTGATATAAAAAGAAATTGGAAACTATCTTACAGTGAAGGTTATTCACACTGTGCATTCCTTTGCGTGAATGATAAAACATCTATTTCCAATAGGTTCTCATAACTATTCATCACAATTTAAATGTTGAAAATTCTCATATCAACAATAGTTTAAAAACTTAACGTGCAGATTTATTTAGCATGGTTCTGTGGTTTGGGATATTCAAAGACATATTGGACAGCGAGACAGGAATGTTACCACGTGTCTAAGACGATGCATTTCGCTCTGCAGAGATGCGTACCTTGGATTTGGCTGGTTGGCAGCAATATTCCAGCTATATGGCGGCGGTGTGTAAATATCACTGAATATCTCAAGTAGGGTGTCAAGTGGTTGTACAGTGATGACATGATTTAGCATTTGTCATATATATTACTGAATAAGAAAACAAACCTACATGTGTTCTCCTGTAAAACTTTCCAGTGCTTTCACTCAAAATTTTAAGGCTGAACTTTACTCTCAAACTGCAAACATAAAAAACCCATCTTATGTCCATGAATACTATATATGACACTTTTTTTGACATCATGTGACACATAGGTTATTCACATACCGTTAGCCGCTCTTGTTCCACAGACAGTACAATGAAATACTGGTGTAAGCTTCTTGTGACTGTATTGTGTGGGGTATGAAAAGGTTAGGACCTCCTGGTGTTAAGAATTGAATTGTAGATTAAATGTATTCAGTGACATAGGGAGGATTATTTATCAGTTGTAAAACAAAGATTTGTACAACGAACAGTTGTCTATTGTCAATCCTCCAGCAATGCATTAAGTGAGTGGGTGAGTTTAGGTTTATCTTGCACTCAGTAATATCCCAGCTATATGGTCTGTAAATAATCGAGTCTGGACCAGGCAATCCAGTGAGCAACAGCATTAGCATCGATCTACCCAATTGGGATGCGATGACATGTGTCAACCAAGTCAGCGAGCCTGACCACCCGATGCCGTCAGTCGCCTCTTAGCATGGGTTCCTGAAGACAAATACCAACCCGGATCATCACAGATGCGTACCTAGGAACGCCAGAAACATTATCATGGGCTCAAATCACAGATCCACCCGATACTGTTTCCAGGCTAGTCAACATCTTGCCCATGTTTATGGATTTAACCAAAGCAGCAAACGTCTGAGACTTGCATCACTTCCCTTCTACATATAACTGACCTGCCCTAATATAACTGAAATATTGTTCAAAGGGGATTTAAACCCAACTCACTCACTCAAATGATATGTGCTCATTAGCCCTGATAGAATTGAAGTGTAATAGTAAAGTTGGAGACTGTCATTTGAACTCTCTTC